TGATTGTTCTAGGAGATAATGGTGTAGTAGATAAAAATGTTGGAACAGTCAATGCAATTTACCAAGTTATCAGGAGTTCAATCCCTTGGTTAGATAGTGGAATCTATATTCTTCAGTTAAGAAAAATGAGCAGTAGCAACATCACAAGAATAAACTAAAATGGGATATTCTCAAGAAGACTGAAGAAAGTCAGACTATACCAATTGAAACTTTGTAGCTTTAACAAAGGAAGATACTAGAGTTTAAATAAATTAATGTATAATATTAGTTACATATTGGATAAACTTATAATTTAGATTCTATATGAATAAAGTATTTAAGCATTCTCCCACAGGTACTACTTATATGAGTGGATTCAAAAATTGTTCAATTCAAGTAGCCCCTGATACAATTCCTTTAGTGCAAAGCAGTGCTGACATCCAGGTGGCAGATATTCATGAATCAGACATGCTTTATTTGTGTCATGTCTTGCCTTCAGGCAAAATATAATTCCAGCCAAAAAGTTTGAGAAAATATAAACATTGATATTAAGACAATAAGCAATTAAAATGTAAAATTAGAAAATCATGAACAGCTTATTGATCATATAACCAACATTAAATGACTTTTCTTTTCATTAATCTTAGAGACAATTAAAAAAAAAAAGAAAAGAAAAAAATAAAAAGTAATATTTGACTACCTAAAAATGGTTGCAACATTTTAATGTGATAAATTTGGTTCCCAAATTGTATCTTCTTTCTCCATAAGCCAGACTTGATAAAATTTAGACATACATTTTTGCAAATAGATTGTAATATTGAGTGCCAACTTTGATTTGTGTACTTTTGTTTGCCTTTAGATTTTGCTTTTCTTTATACCAGCACTATGAAGCTAGGATACAGAAAGTAAAACTCTGGTTTAATGTGTAAAGTCTGCAGACTACTACCAAATTTCAAGAGTCTATCCCCTTATTTTCTACATACTGTAGGAGAGCATATAACAATCATGAAAAAAATTCCCCTAAATATATGAACCAATATCAGAGAAAAATTTATGTCTAAATTGCATACAGTAAATTACTCTTAAGAAACTTCTCAGAAAAAGAATAAAAGATTCTAGTAAGGGGACTTGATTATGTAAGCTCTTGACTGGAATTTTGAATTTGAATAAAAGTCTACAAGTATGTACTGAAAAAATTGTTTTAGCACTATTTGACATAGATAATGTGCAATAAAACTATTTAAAATAAGGACACATGGCACAGTGGATAAAGGCGTTAGTTAGATCTAGTGACAGGACCCAAACAGTGTGAGTTCAATACCTGGTTGTGGAGAACTTGGAGAGGGGAATTAACAGGAGATAACTGATAACTGACATCCATTAGACATGGCACATGGAACTAGAACAGTCTACCCCAGTAAGCGAAATAAAGGGTTCAGTTCGACATTCCAACCACCTGAAGAAGGCCAGAGCGTACAACAGCTGAAACTGTGATAAATATGGCAACAAAGATGAGGATGATAGTCCGAACAATGTAAATAGTGTACATAATACCTCATCTCAGAAATATAGACAGATATTAAAATAAGAACTCTGTAAGAATTACAACAAGTCTTGTAAACCATAATGGTCATTGAGGTACATATGGCTTTAGGGTAGATAGCCTGAAAGAGCCCATCTTCCTGGTTCTTTAAATATACCTAACATTATATGGCTATTATACAGAAATCAATGTACTATAAAAACCAGTCATAATCAGCATCAGAAATTTAGATATATGAAAAATTGTGTGAATCAGTCAATAAGATCTTGTCAGGTACTACATAATGATTATATAAAAGTCAATGCATCTTAAAACTATACAATAGAACGATGTCATTTGATAATTTTAATTGAATATTTGTTAGATTTGCCATGTGAAACAATTCCAAGTATATAAAAAAGAGCACTGCAGGGTCTTTAAATATCACCAAGTTTAAATAGGTTACATTTGCTGATGGAGGTAACAGATTTTACCAAAATTACTGCTTGGTATTAAATGACTCTTCTGATTTATTCTTCCATTTCAGATTCTAAATACATTGTAAATTTTCAAAAATGCAAAATACAAAAAGTTATCTGCCCTTGTCAGTGCTGTGACTAGCCCATCATCATGACAACAGTGGTATATAAAAGTCAAATGCAAAACTTCATTATAACCTCTGCCATTTTCTCTTGTAGCAATCTGTTTATAGAAGTAAGACTGAAGATTTTTCACCACTTTATATTTCATCTTGCTTCTTTTAGCATATTTTGTATTTAATGCAAGGATATATTCTAAACATTGTTTTAGATAATACTTCTGAGAAATGACATTTCTCTTTCCCTCATCCTAAACTACAACTGACCTTATTCATTCTGTTAATACAACATAACTAGAAACTTTATATTTTTCACATCTGTATCTCTCACACTGTAAACTTGTAATCATGTATATAACAAATCTGATTGTAAATATATATACGGAATTTGCTTTTCAATGAAAAAGAACAAATTATTGTATAAAAAATTCTATATCTACATTTCTTTTCATAAACTGTGTTAAGTACTACAAAGGCCCATGAAGGAATTTTAAACATATGGGAAATCCTGTAGGTTTCACTTTTTAGTATTAACATCTCTTTTCCTGCAGAGTATAACTCTCAGAGATAATGTTATTCCATTGGCAAAATTCACTAAGAAACACACTATTAATTTATCACTAATTTTATTCTATCTTATTGCACAAAAAAAGCAATATGTAATGAGACTAGATATAACAGTGAAAAGAGTCTTCAAAATATTTTAAAATAATACTTAAATAAACAAGGTTTATTTCATCAAATGACAATCCAATTTGAATTATAATACATTAAATTAATCTAGTTTATCCAAATTTCTTCGATAGCTCTTTAATTTATTTAAATTTAGAATCTCCACTTTAGTATCAACCAAGGTGACAGTCTTGACAGATCAATGTATAAAAATGAAATAGCGAGATTACATGGTACAAATATAAGAAATGAGAAACCTTGAATTGATTGCACTTTTCTTTGATAACAAACACAGCATGCAAGTGAGGAAACATTTATCAAGAAATCTCATGATAGAATGGTGTAAAGAGATTGATTCACTGCTTTATTCAGATTTTGATCTCTGTTCCTCAATTCCATTTTCCATACTAATAACTGGTGCTCCACCCAACAACTACTTAATATGGTGATTGACTAAGCATAGCTTAGATGTGGCACAAGGCCAAAAGTTGGAGCATCCAGTGAGGATCAAACTCACTACTCAATCGTAATTAATCTAGTGAAACAAGCTCGTTAACCATTACACCATATCAAAATGCCTCAACCAACACTTAATTAATATGGAAGAAAAGCAAAACTTAAAAACATTTTCATATTCATGTTTTTGAGATCTTTGGGATTAGAATAAAAAGTTTAAGCCTGGTGACAAAGAAACTGAGAATACATCTTTCCATTACACTAAGAGTAGTAGGGGCACAACTTAATGTCTGCAACAATATCTGAGAGAACAACAATTTCTGGATGACCCACAATAAAATGCAACCTAGGTTTGTGGGCAGTATCTTGGGTTTTTCCCCAAATTTAAAGTGACTTTGTATTTGGTAGCTTAAAAAGTTTTGTTTTTAATCATTTACATGACATCAGAAGTGTTTAATTTTATATTAAAAAAAATTGCTTGACTGGATTATAACGGCTATCATATCGATGTAGTTTTTGTAATTTTCAGCATATTGCACTTTTATTTTAAGGGTAAAAATGCAACTCAAATTGCTCAAACATGCCAAGAATGGTTTGTGAAGTTTCATGCTGGAGATTTCAACTTGAACAATGCTTGTTCATCAGAGAGACCAGTTGAGTTTGTGATCAAATAAACACATTACTGGAGAATAAGCAACATGAACAGATGCAAGTGACAGCTAACAGATTCAAGATATTCAAATCAAGCATTTAAGACCTTTTCAGATGATCAGTTATGTACACTCAACTTTGATGCATGGCTTCCACAGGAGTGGAAACAAAAAGCAAACTACAATATATTTCTGCATGCAAAAAAAATGTTCCTTTCTGTAAAGAAATTGTGATAGGCTATAAAAAGTGGATATGACAATGTAAAATGAAATACAAGGGATTGTAAAGTAAACAAAAGGATCCAACAATAACTGTATCAAAGAGCAGTTTTCACCCCCTCCCCCTAAAAAAGGGATGCTGCATATACATGGTGCAATTGGAAGGGAGCCCTCTTCTGTAAACTCTTTCCAGAGAACCAAATGATCAATTGGAACAAATATTGCTCTTAATTAGACTAATTATAAGCAGCAATAGAAAGAAGCATGAGTATAATATTCCAACAGGATAACACAAAACTGCATGTTTCTTTGGTGACTAAGCAAAAGTTGTTACAGCTTCATTGAAAAACCAATTTCCCAGAAAATCTTGAGCAGTTCTTTGCAGAGAAAGATAAAACATTTTGGAAGGAGAGAATTATGAAGTTTTCTGAATAAAGTAAAGTAAAAAACAAGCCTATTAAAGTGGATAATAAAAATCATTATTATTCAAATGGATGTGTAGTTGAAGTTTGGTCATGTGATCAATATTAAGAGTACAGGTAGACATTTATTTGCAAACCGCTAAATATTTCCAAGAGATTTTCGTTTGTTGTTTTCAGGAGTTTTCATGCCATTAAAAGTTTTTGCAAATGATTTTCACAGTAGGAGACAGAAAAAAAAAAAAAAATACCCTAAAAGATAGCAAATTTAAAAAAAAATAATCACACATCATGCTTTTAGCAAATTTTCAACAAAAAAAAAAAAAAATAAAAATAAAAATAAAAAGAAAAATAAAAGAACGAAGACAAGAAAAAAATGCCTCAAGATTTAAAAACAAAGTAAAAAAAATAAAAATAGATCAAAAAGTTCCTTTCTTTTCTTTGTTCTGTTCTGTGTAAGAAAAGGGAAGAGGGTATAGTCTTACCTGTTTTCCGCAAAGGGAAGTCATCCTCATATTTGCCGATAAGGGACGATGGACCATATGGTGGCGATAGGCCGCTTTGCGGAGGTGAATTCTGTTCGACAGATCCAGGATGGCCAACCCTGGGAAGAATCAAAAAGTTAAAACAAAATGAAACAAAGAAATATTTGTAAATCTTGTGACATAATATCTGCTATATTATGATTCTTGCATCATCAGCTTCTATTTATGCAATGCTCAAACTTCATTTTGTTCAAATTGGTCAGTTAATCAGGAAATTTACTTTACTGATAACTTCTATTTTCATATCTGAAAAAATTCAATCTAAAAATTCAGTAAATATAAAACTCTAGGATCATGGCAGGCACAGATTGTCACTCCTGTTGGTAAAACAGGACACTATTTTAATTCCTTCCTTCCCCTCGACAACTACTTACTTATTTTTTGTGGGCTATTTACTGGATTGGCTTAGGAAAAAATGATATGTGCTGGTTAGGAATTAAGAATAATGTCAATGTATCATTCATGATTTTACATGAGAAATGCATTAAAAATCAGGAAGAAAAGTGTGGTCAGTGGTCAAGAATTAAGGCCAACATTACTGAGAGAGGAGAAATATTGTATGTATATCTTTTTTTCCTAAACAATTTAATTTCTTAATTAGGAACCTTCCTTTCACTATGGGAGAGTGCTAAAAAGTTCCCAGCACAACCTACTTTCCAAAAAATCAGTATTCAGATATTTGTTCATTTAAATTTTTGAATTGGGTTCAGCAACCCCTTGAACACACAAGTTGGTTGGTTGCAATCTTCAAGATGTACACATATTTCATTAATCTAAGTTCATCCACTACCACAGGAGTTTTCTATGAAGAAATGTTTGACTGAAGTAACACTACTAAAAATTTGGACAAAAGCTTCTGGTAAAATACATTTTATGTATTTATGTTGATGGTATGGCAATAGAGGTTGAAACTTTCTGCCAATAACCCATATTTTTTTTTTTTTACTTTGTACAGATATCAGCCAAGTGGTAATGTGACAAAATAGAGTCTGATATAACAGTGCATACATAGAAGTATGTCATTGAATTCCTCCATGTAAGAAAGATTACATTTATTAACATTTGCTGAATATTTATGGAAACCAAATAATGGATATGAACACAAGCAGTGAGTAATGTGTTTTAGCAATATCTGTGATATTTTGCAAGTACCAAATGTGGATACCTGATCATTGCTGGTGAAAATTCTAGCCAATGGTGGCAGCTATGTGAAAAATAGTGTTTTGTAGCTAAAAACATGTTCTAACCAATGGCATTATTTTGCTTTCTGTAGTATATGTTGTTGCTTATGTGGAAATAAGCATTACTTTTGGTGCATGCACATACGCAAGTCCATAGCCTAATAGTTACACTCTTTCAGGTGGTAGCCAATCATGGTTCTCCACAATTTCCTGTCATTTGTTCTAACTCACTCTTGCTCCTTTACCACCCCTCTATGGCTTCACAGTAAGCATTGTGTCATCCATTTAATCAAACTTGTGAAGTAGGTTACTTGCTGTTTCCACTGCTTCTTGTGTCTTCAGTTTGCCTTGTGAGTGTTAAATTCTTCAAACCTTCTTTCTTCATTTCATGTTCCAGAAATTTCACCTGTCTTTCTGATTGTTAGCAGTAATTTCTTGTAGTTTTTATGCTACTTAAAATTTCTTTATTGCTTACATGCTTTGTACATGATATTCTCAAACATTTGTTAGTGGAACCACACCTGTCACTTCAAGTCTCCTCTTCATCTGCAAAAACATTTTTAAGCATTCACTACCATATAGATTAGATTACATTTTTTTGTTTTTAAGATTATTTTCATATCTGGTAATACATTGCATAGTTTCTGGAAGGCAGTTTCATTATTCATATAAACCTTTGGATGTGTGCATCATATCTATTGTTGTCTGTTCCAGTACTAGCAAGATAAATTTCTGTACTTGTTTGATTGTGACATCCCTAATATTTAGCATGCAACTTGGGCTAACTCTTGCCATTTTTTTACAATTAATGGTAAGTCCTTTCTTGCATTCCTTGACTACTCTGAGTTTTCTATCTGAGTTTGTCACTAACACATTTTCATCAATATATTATTTGTTAAGGTTATGTCGACCAATAATGAGTCCTAATAGGTTTGCTACTTCTCTAATGACCTTGCTGTACGCTTCTTTTTATTTAGTAGTGGGTTATGAATTACTCAAATATCTTTCCTATGTAATAGTCATAACATAGTTTCTTGAGTGAGTTGCTAGGGTTGCCAATGGTGGGGAGGGGTAGCTAGTTATAATTAGAAGAGAATAGTTGTTTCCAAGCGCTCATTTGTACCAATTCACTACCCAAAAATTTGACCAACTCACTAAACATTTAATTTTGTTCAAATTTCTGGAGAAATCGGTTCCTTCATCTTAAGGATTATACAATTGACAATTATTGAAGAAAGATGCAGCTGAAACATTTTGGTAACATTATCAAGAACACTAAGAAAGAACTCAATTGTCTAAACAAAATTTGGAATAAACTTATGAAGGCCTCTTCATAACTATTCTTGAAGTTGTGGAAGCAAAGAACATTTATGATGGTGATGTTACAATTTTATTTGAGAATTTTAATTCATTTCAAAAATGTATTTCTTATTTGCGTATTTTTTATAAATAAAAATATTCAGTAGGTCTACTAGTATATAATAAAGTGTTACCAATGCCGAAATTGTGGAGGAGAGTTTGTCATGTTGCTGGCTGCGGCTTCTCGCTGCTTCTTTGTTAACACAAATTCTTGCAACTTCTGTTTCACTTCTGAAGAAGCTATCGCACCTGAAATTTTAAACAAAAAATTGTTTGTGGTCTGATGTGGATACTAAGATTCATTGGCTTCAGTTTTTGTTTTTAACACACTTGTCCTTATTTATTGTAGTTATACAAGAGCATCAAAATAATTTACTAGAATTACCTTTAATCAAATTATAATATACTAAACAAATTGACCCCTAAAATTCTAAGATACTGATTGTAATTTACAGCCACATTGTCTAATGCCAAACCATAAATAAATTTTGTGTAGAGAATGTTTATTCTTGATTTTTATTCCATACTATGTACTTAATGTTCAGAGATAAACTTGGGAGTTGCAATAAAAAGTAAAAGATTAAAATGAAAAATACTTGTCAAAAATTAATAAGAATTATATTTTATTTTCAACATTTGGACAACTTAAAGCTATTTCATCTCATACAACTAAATGTAAACATACAGAAAAATCAAGGTGAAACAAAAACAATTAAAAAAACATTACTGTCACTGCTTAATTTAAGAAACTCAGACAAGGTAAATGAACAAGTAGCAGCAAAAAAGCAAGATTATTTGGATGAAAATTCTTTCCATTTCTTGTAGCTAAAATTGATATTGCTACAATACTGAATCTTATCCCAAGCTTACCATATTTGATAGCATATAACACCCAACCCTATGACTAAAAAACAAAACAAAACAAAAAAAACTCCCATGATATGCACAATTCCAGTATCTAACAGGACAATGTTTATCCAGACACAATCAATTAACAGTACTTACATTTAGTGAAACTTCATAATACTGTAATATTTCATGTAAATTGAGTTTATATATCATTAAATATGGTGTTGCCAGAGGAACACCTATATAAAGTAAGGAATACATATATAAAATTCAATTTTATGGACTGAAGTTTTAATCATGAACAACTTTAAAGCATGTTGTTTTCAACTTGAAAATAAGTTGCTTCGATCTGGAGGAAACCTGAATGGATGTAACAAATAAGTAAAACGGAATACAAAGTAATAAGTCAAAAACATTTTAAATATTTATTCTTTTTGTAAACAGAACAACAATATTTGCATTGCTATTTTAAGAACACAATAAATTTTGTCTTAAAATTGAAAATTCTAATTTAAAAACTTATCATAAAGACAGTTAACTTTCTTCACAGTTGAATTTTTGGAGATATAATTTAATTTTTTTCCTTATGAATAAACCAATTTTATTAAAGTATATAATCTACACTAAAAAGGCCCTTCCAAAAGGAAGCAAATTATGTCAACTCATTAAAAATATCTATTTAAAGACACTGAAAATTCCCTTCTTTTTTAAACTTTAGAAATCTCTTATTTTTAAGATTCAAGATTACACAGATTACTTTTGTTGCAAAGTGAGAAAAATGTTTTGCAGACATGGATCTAGGGGAAAACACTTAACAGTGTTGAGGGAGTAAATAACATTGCTAACATTATACCTCTTGTCCTGAATACTTATTGACTGAATAGCATCAATGCATCAAGAAAGTATTTGTTTTTTATTTTGAAAACAGTGTAAGAAATTTAAAAATATCCACTTTTAATTTAGCAGAGAATTTTTTTTCTCTGAAAGAAAATACTTTACTGATACATTTTTTTTTTTATTTAACAAGAAATAAATTGACAAACGCAAAAATCTTGCAAAGAACTGACTCTTCCACTAAAAAAAAAAAAAAAAAACTTACTTTCTTCATCTTTATTTTTATTTTTTATCTTTTCCAAGCGTTTTTTCTCTATCATTTCTTTTTCTATCCGTTGCTGCTGCTCTAATTTCTTTTGCTGCTCAAGATAAACCTGGAAACAGGAGGGAAAAGAGACATTAACAACTTTTAGTATGCATCAATGGATTTGAATAACAACTAAACAAGTTATAATCTTAAAAAAATACTATAATAATACAAGTTGAAAATAGGAACTCAAAGATTGTATATCCAATTGTAATAAATTAACATATATACTCATGTATATGTCTAAGTTGTAAACTCTCAGGCAAAAAATTCACCTAGTTATGGGTAAAAATTCTGTTGATGAAATCTGTGCATGATGGAAATAATAAATTCTTAAATGGTATATTGTAATAAGCCAGAAAAATTTTGCTTTTCCTGCTTGGCACTTTGAGCACATCAATTATTAGGTACCTCCATGAGATCACTAAAAAAGAGCATAACATGATGAAAAAGACACCAAATTTGACGAAAACAAAATTTTATTGTCTAAATGTTCATGTTATTATTAAGAGGAAAGATCAAAGTATTTTGGGGGTATTTTTTTACATTTTTTAATTGTTACTAGCACATTGGAAATTTTTGTTAAAAATCTTATGATTTTTGAGTCAGCAAAATTGACATATAACCATGGCATCCATTTTTTTCCCTTTTATAAAAAAAATGAAAATCTTAGTTTGAAATTCTTTTAAAAATCAATGATCATTTTTTCAAAACTTATTTTTAAGAAAATCAGAAATTATGTTTATTTAAAATATTTTGAACCAAGCTTAACTTAGCTTCTGCACTGAAAACATGTAATTTGAAAATAAAACAAAGCAGGTCATAACCTTTCGCGTCACTTGACAGGTGTTGAATGAGATATTGATGGATTACATGAGGATAATTTGTTCTACGAAAGGAGAAAAGTGAAGTTATTTAGATTTAAGTGAACAAATTATTTATCTTGTTATTTTTAAGGAAAACTTTCAGCACCCTAATTTTTGTTTGTACTTAGCTTTCACCTTTACATTTTGCGATGCTTTATCGAAAATATATAAAGAAATTAAAATAAGATTGTTAAGAGTGAGATTAAATTTCAAAAGAAAGGTATCTAATTAATTTATAGGTACCTTTCTTTGAAATTTTATCAGAAGTGTACATAAAATACTATAATTTTATGTACATTTATTACATTTTATTGTGTTATTTGTATTTCCATTCGTTTTATTATTAATTTTGACATTTCATTTATGGAAAAATGTCAGCTGAGATTAATATAAAAATAAGATCATATAAATTTCATAAGATGATACTGATACTTGTAGGTACCCTTCTCAGTTGAAACTGAAAAATCAAATTAACTTCTCTACACATATTTCACAAAAGTAAAGGCCTTAACAGTGGAGAACAATGCTTAACTCAAATAACACAACTTAATTGTATTCTGGTTGGTCTTCTGTACTTTATAATTACAGCCCGATTATAAACACAAAATTACATTTCTTAATTACTGGGGATCTTCTGATTAGTCAAAACGATACAATTTACAACACGCTAAAAAAAGATCTATCTCATAAGGACACTTACGAAAGTTGATGCAGCTTTTAACTAATTTTATAATATTTTAACAACTTAAATGTAAAAATCTATTATAAAGAAATAACAAATGATTGCATTAAAAATTCATTTTTCATCGAAAAAATTTTGCTTTGAGAAAATATTACCCATATTCATAAAAACAACTAAAAGCAAATAAAAGCATTTGAAATTAAATAATATCTTTGTTTTATTGAGTTTTGTATGTTACAATTCAGAGCTGATTTTCAGGAGGGGGGGGGTCCAATTAAAAAACAACAAAAAAAAAAAACATGATTTGCATTCCTCAAAGCCTTGTAATCACTAATCTGGATTCAATCAAATTTCTAGTGTTTTCTTAAAATTAGTTGGTAAAGAGAGAGAGTTTTAATAAAATAAAAAAAATATTTATTATCCCCCACCAACTAATTTTAATCTAATCTGTCATAAAAAAAAAAAAAAAACATGCTAAAAATTGTATATGTTATTGTTATAGTAAACCCTCTTACAGTATAATGAACTCTTCCTCTCATAAATACAAACTGCGAGGGGAACGCAGAGTGAAGGGTGTGGAGTAGTAGACGCAGTGCTAATCTACTTATTACTAACACTATTGTTTTGTATATATCTTCAATATACTTTTTCAACCTACCTTCGTCTTCCGTGTCTTTCTGGCCCCCTAAACAGGCCACAACAACTTGGTGACAAGAATTTCGCACTTCATGGGGACTTAAAAATAAAAATTTGCCGTTGCCAGTGTCCACAACAACTTGGTGATGAAGATTTACAAGGATTTTGCATGGACCACTGTGATTAAAAGGAACTCTCTCAAAATATGGAAAATCAAGTTTTTTCGTAAAAGACACACTTATTATGGAGGATCTCAAAAGTATTTTATTAGAACTTGTAAAATACCAGAATGCACAGCAATTACAACTACAAGAAAGAATGGAAAAGAAGTGGCAAAAACAATTGCTCTCACAACAGGAAAAAATGGAAAATGTATTACTGCAAACCCAAAAGGAAAATCAAGAGAGACAGCTTGAATTTCAAAAGCAAGTGTTAGAATTGACAAACTCCAGTAATCCCATTGAAAATGAATTTTCTTTTTTGCAAAACACCATTTGGAGTGTGATAGAGAATTTTTCATACAATCCTGAAGAAGACATAATCTTTGCGTCATACTTTAGGAGGTATGAGGACTTGTATACGTCAGATTGTGCGAATTGGAGTGACTCGAAAGGAAACTTGGCACATCTGAGCACACAAAATTCGTTAACTACATTCTACCCCGTAAGACTAGCGAATTGACATTCACCGAAGCAGTAGAATTACTAACGGAGCTCTTCAGCCTAAAGACATCTCTTTTCCATAAGAGATGGAAATGTCTTAATCTAACTAGGAAAGAATGGGAAGACTACACCACTTTTGCGTCAATTGTAAACAAGCACTGCGATGATTTTAGACTGGCGGAGCTAAGTGCAAATAACTTCAAACGCTTGATATTCATGCAAGGATTAGTTTCAGCAAAAGATGCAGAAATTAGGCGAAGAATACTAAGCAAATTGGAGAATGAACCGAATATAACTCTACAGCAGATTGCTGAAGAATGTCAGAAGTACGTCAGTTTAAAACAGGATTCTAAAAATATTGAAGAATCTGGTATTGCTCACAGACCTTACAATGGCGCTGGTTAAATAAATTGGTCATCTTATAAACAAAATGATTAAAATAATATTCGTATCTTAGCAAATGGCACTGGTTAAATAGATTGGTCATCTCATAAAAATATTATTAAAATAAAGTTCGGATCTCAGCAAACGGGCCTTAACGTTAAATAGATTGGTCATCTCATAAAAAAAAGGGAAATTTTATTCAGCGAATAATTTTTGTGATTTTGTATTGATTAAACCGTTCTTAATTGATGACATTTGTCAGAATAAAAAAATATTGAAAAAAAGTACGCTACAAACAGAAACAAACAAAGTCTCCTAAAACATTGCATTGCCAATCTAAAAATAGAACTAATAGCTGAATAAAAAATACAAGATCGGACGAACGAGACTGTGATAATATCAGGAAATTCACGCACGTAAAAATGTTAAACAAAAGTGTAGAATTTCAACTAGATTCGGGTTCTGATTTAACTATTATAAACTTGCAAACATGGAAAAGATTGGGTAAGCCAACTATGATAAAATCTAGCAAGATTGCAAGATCAGTAACAGGAGAAAAAATTAAATTCAAGGGAGAATTGATTACAAATATAATGCTCAACAGGAAGACTCTTAAATTAAAAAATGAAAAATTCTAACAACCTATTTGGCACTGATTGGATGACACAATACCAGCTTTGGAACTTGCCTGTAAATTCTTATGGCCAAAAAATTAAACTACAAGACAACGTCCAGCCAGTGTTCAAAAAGAAGCGAAATGTGCCTTTTGCCTTGTTGGAACAAATTAACGAGGAATTCGCAAAAGTAGCAAGAACTGGAGATCTATTGAAGGTAGAAACAAAGAACTGTTCGTCTAAAAAATTAGCTGCTAAGAAAATGAAACTGAAGAATGTAGCAAAGGTAAAGTTGGAAGTGCTTCATGTTGACAAGATGAAAAAGAGGGAAATTTTTGTTAGAGGCAAAGTAGCCAAAGCAAAGAAACTGGCTCAAGGAACACAGGCCTCTATCCCTAAACAGAGCAAGAAAGTTGCATCAGTTTCAGCAAACTCTGATCAGAAAAACGTTGTGTTAGACTTAAAAAAAAAAACCTGGACCAGGGAAAGGGAGTAAGTGTTTTGTGCAAAAGGTTTTAGTTTCTTGGAGAAAACAGCAACAAAGGCAGCAAAAAACCGTAAAAAAAAAAAAAAAAAAAAAAAAAAAAAAGAGACCACAAACAAAAGTTTGTAAGCTTGTTCTACGTTGAACTTGGCAAAACAAGTCAGTCAAGTTTTAAATTCCAAGCCAGGTGTAAAAAGGAAACGCTTGTTTTTTTGTTTTTTTTTGATAATGTAAAACAAGTCAGGCAGAAGAAAACCACTAAAAGTTGGTAAACTTTTTTCTTTTTTTTTTTTTTTTTACAGGTACATGTGAAGAAAAAAAAAAAAAAAATTATATATATATATTTATTTCTTCATACTCCTGTGGAGTTGAGATTTTAGGAGGGGGGGGTGTTGTGGTAAACCCTCTTACAGTATAATGAACTCTTCCTTCTCTCATAAATACAAACTGATGGGGGCGCAGAGTGTGGAGTAGTAGACGCAGTGCTAATCTACTTATTACTAACACTATTGTTTTGTATATATCTTCAATATACTTTTTCAACCGACCTTCATCTTCCATGTCTTTCTTTCTGGACCCTAAACAGCCCACAACATTTATTTTACTAGTTCCGGTGATACAAAGAGAAACAAGGTTTTTTAAATCAAAATTTAGAATGTTCTAAAAAGAAGGAAAAATTTTTAAAAAATAATTAAAAAAAACTTTGGTCATTCCTCTTCATAATAACATAAGTATTTAGATGATAAAATTTTGTTTTCATCAAGTTTGGCGTCTTTTTCATCATGCTATGCTCTTTTTTTTTTTTTAGCGATCTCATGGAGTTACCTATCAATTGTCAGTTTATAAAAAATTGATTAGCATAGGAAACCAATGTTGATTTACACCGTATGGTTTAATAGCCAAAAACAAATAGTTCAGACGTTTACAGATGCCCAACTAGTATATGGATTAATAAGGTAATAAGTGAATAATATGGAAGTAGATAAAAAAAAAAAAGTACAAATTATATATAAAAAGCTCAGAAGACAAAAACAAAATGTCAAAGCGAAAACATGAGAGATAACTGTAATAACAGAGTAACTTCCCTTAGAACATATACAAGGAAGCTGAATGATTCGAAGTCATTGAGTATGAGTAGTTTTGATGAAAATGCTTTTGGCAGAGATCAAGTCAAATGTCTTCACATTACTAAACTATAGTGAGAGAGGTAGTAGTGATAATAATACATAATGGAAAAATGAGAGTAAGTCAAAAAGATGTAGGTAATCAGAATTTATGATTAATATTTTTCAATGCTGACCTTTTCAGTACATAAATGTGAGGAATAAGCAAAATATTCTTAAATTTTGGGAATTTCATATACAAAGCATTATCAATTTAGGATTCAGATTTATTCCATTTTATTTTCTCTTTCTTCATATTACACTAGATTTAATGATATCTGAATTTCTTACACGAAGCATTATTATTTATTATCCTGTTTTGACTAGTTTTATTACTTTTTAAAAAGACAATATGATGGGTATAATAGATAAGAATGAATGCCCTCAATGCAGATCTATGGCTAAATATGAATTCCATCTATTAGAGGCCTATCTTATAATTCATTCTATCAAATGTATGCCTGGTGTGTTGCACTTAAAAATCAACAGAAATTTAGTGAAAGAAAAACTAGTAAAATTGAACAATATTAACATCTACATCATTTCTTGCTTAATCATTAACTTTGAGCAGAGTAACTAGAAAAACAAATATCACATAATTATTTACATATGAAATGTAATTTTTACCTAAGATGAAAGGATCTGTGTATTCAGGCAACAAAGTATTTTGCTTAAGATGAGAGTATAAGCATCTGTTATAATATGACACATCTAGTATGTAAGAGATATATGTTACACACGGAGTGCTGAAAAGATCTTTGTCCAAACCAGGAAATCTTGAAAAATTCTAATGTTTGGTTATTTGATCTAATTTTTGGAAGTGTCTCAAGCAAAGAACTTTTCAGCATCCTTGTGTGTGTGTGTGTGTGTGTGTGTGTGTATTTACACTGTACTAAGTTTAAAAAAAAAAAAAGGAACAAAAAAATTGTACATGTATTCATCAATGTAATTTTTTTTAAATACTTGTAGCATTTAAAAATCAGACTAACACTATTGTTCTCCAAAATAATAAAAATGAACTTTTCTGAAAATTCTTATCAACTTTTTGGGAAATACTCTGGTGAAAGATTAGCTTTTTGGAAAATATTCTTAAATTTACACCTGCATACAATATCTTCTCTGAATCTACAATTACAAAAACAACTAATATCTAAAATGTTCCTCAATTTTAAATTTTCTCAGTGAATATTTCATTTCTGTAAAGCTTCTTTTGAGAAAGTTGGAGCTTTATTATAAGAGCTGAGTAAAATGTGAGAATGACATCTTCATTCTTTTGCTGGTCATTGAACAGACACTGAACTTTTCTCCAGAACCACAAGGCTTAAATAACAAGGCTGACAACCAAGCAATAAAAGATGAAATTTTTCAGAGAAGCAGCCAAAGTCTTACTTTTATGTGTTCCTGCAGTTGTTTCTCATGCTCTTGAGCTAACTGCTGCTGCTGCTGTTGAAACTGGTGAAGCAACATTTCCTGTTGAAGCTGTTGCCGTTGTTTAATCGAGGCAATTTGCTGCTGCAGTTGCTGGTCTGAGAAGATGTTACCGGGAAGAGTTGGCGGCGTCGACGGCGCCGCCGCCGTGGTCGACGGCACAGACCGCCGTGCAACAGGAGGCGAAGGCGGAAGATCTGGGGAGAAAAAAAAAAAAAATCAATAGTCAAAGAGACTGAAACAGAATCAAAATAAAAATTAAAAAAAAAAATATATCTCTCCTTTTACACACACACACAGAGTTGTGAACAGAATTATTCACCCACTTCCATAATTACAAATAAAGCTGTAATACCTCAAATTTTCATGGAAACTTCATGCACATTTTTTCCCCAAATGATGAAATAATGTGTGAAAGAATGTGCAGTGATACCCACAACAAAATTTTTATTTTAATGTCAAACAATAACACAAGAAGACACACAAAAAAACAATTAATATAGGATAAAAGTATTGGCCTTCTTACCGCAATAATCAATTGTGTAACCTTTATTTTTGATTATTGCCTTTAATTGTTTTTGAGAGTTCCTTACAAGATCATTGCACACACTGATAGGTACTTTGCTCCATTCTTCCTTGGCAATAGCTCCTATTTCCTCCAAATTTGACAGACACTTACTTTTTTCCCTAAAAATGCCCATAAATTTTCAATGGAGTTTAAGTCAGGACTTTGTGTGGAGTATACCAATACCTTAATTATACTATCATCTAAGTATTTTGTAACAATTCGTGCCATTTGTTTCAGGTCATTGTCAAGTCGGAACGTCCAGTGATGCCCCCAAAACAGCTTTCCTTCACTTTTTTATATTATTTTTTAAGAATAGCCAAATACTGCTCTTTATCCATTATACACTGTACTCTCTCAAGTTCTCCTGTCCTAGAAGCAGCTAAACATCCCCAGAGCAGAATGTTCCCACCACTCTGGATAATTGTAGGGAGGGTATTTTTTGGTTTGTGAGCTTCATTCACATATCTCCATACATAATGGGAGTTCATGCAACCAAATAATTCTAGTTTGGTTTCATCTAACTGTAAAAAAATAATTCTAATATTTACTCCCATGTTCTAGATGCCTTCTAGCATAAGTTAATCTGCATTTTAGGTGTTTAGCCTTAAGGGAGCTTTCCTTGGGCAACAAGCTCAAAGTCCTGCTCAATGAAAGCATCTAGTGACTTTCTTTGTCAATACATGATGTCTTTACATCATTGACAATGTCTTTTGTAGTTAAGTCAGGATTCTTCGAGACATCTTTAACAATTTTCCTTTCCATTCTCTCAAAAATTAAACATTTTCTACTAGTCCTCAATTTATTCTCAACATAATGAGTCCTGAACTTCTTGATAATGCTACAAAATTTTCGATCTAGGAACATCTGAACGCTTGGAAAGTGTTACATATCCATCACTTTGTATGCATCAACTATCTTCATTTGGACCTTCTTGTCAAGTTCAGCCATCTTTACCATGGTTGCAGATCAATGAGTTATTATTACACTCACATATTGTCTTCTTCATTACATTAGAATGTTATAAAATCAGGTCAATACTATTTCATTTTCAAAGGGTGTTTCAAATTAAATTTCAAATTAAAAAAAAAATTACAATTGCCATAGAGCAATATTATTTCATAATTTCCATAAGTGGGGGTGAATAATTTTGGACTGCACCAATTTTTGGAAAAATCTATACTTATGAATATAATAGATCAAAACTTCTAAAAATTTCACAAATTATTCAAAACTAAATATGGAATGAAATATTGATGGTAAATTCAGTAAGTACACATTTCCTTAGAAAATATGCAAATATTCAGTGGGAGCAAATAACTGTCCACAACTATATATATATATATATATATATATATAGTGCAACACAAAAGTGTTTGCACCCATAGCATTTCTAGAATATACAATTTTAACAATCATAATGGCTTATGTAAACATTAGAATAAATATATATAATTTAAAATGACATGTCCAATGTAATTAACAAAAGTCTCCATATTATTATTTATTTAAGGATTTCTATATATTTCAGGTGAATCAAGTGTTTGCAGAAGTCATAAATTTAAAAAAAAATAATGGCTCATGGGAAGATGAAAAAGCCCAAATATCAAAATTGCTCTCAAATGTTAAAACCAGACTGAAAATAGCAAAAACAATTAAATGTGATCATCGCACAGTGAAGCAATATGTCAATGATGGTAAAGTTGAGTGCAAGAAACACAAGGGTGGTCGCCCATGTGCAGTTAACAAGAGAGATTTAAGAAAAATTAAAAGATCACTCAAACAGAACTCTCACAGCACCAGCAAAGAGATTTTTAAGCAAGCTGGCATTGAAGAAGTATTGAAAGCGCATCTTCCATAGTGTGGCAAAACAAAGTTGTACAATTTAATGCCCTCCGTTGAGCAAAATGAATCGCCTGAAGAGGTTAGAATGGGCATACAATTACTTAAAAATTGATTTCCAAAGAGTAATTTGGACAGATGAAGCCTGAGCTTAGATGGCCCTGATGGTTGCAAAAGAGGTTGGCTCATTCATGGTGGAACTCTTCACTTGCGTTTTAAGGCGGTGGTGGTGGAGTGATGTTCTGGTCTGGAATTTGTGGCTTGACATTAATTGGGCCATTTCTTGTGCCAGGACTCAAGCTGAATTCAGCTAGCTATTGCCAATTTTTAAAAGAAAATTTCATACCCTAGTTGAATTCACAAAATGATGAGTTCTGTACTAATCTTGTTTATCAGCAAGATAATGCCCCCAGTCATGCGGCATGCTTCAAAGAGTGGTTGGCAAATCAAGATTTTAAAGGGGGCAACATTATGGTATGGTCACCACAGAGTCCTGATTTAAACCCTATTGAGGACCTTTGGGCCATGGTAAAGTGTCGAGTATATGAAAATGGATGGCAATTTTCAAACAAGGATCACCTGTGGAAGTACATTTTGGATGTTTATTCTAAAATTGCAATCAGCGAAGTTAGGAAACTCACTTCATCAGTCGATAAACAACTTATTGAGATTCTTAAGAATGATTGTTGAAAAATTAAATATTAATGTGCTCCTTGTGTTTTCATATATTTCATTGGTATATAATACATAATACACCTTTTCATTATTTTGTACAATTGATTTGAACAGGATCAATTTTTTGCAATGAAATTAAAGTTTGCAAAAACTTTTGAGTCAGTATTATTTCTTTAATTAATTAAAAAAAAAAAAAAAAAAAAAAAAATCACAAATAAAGCTAATTTTTGTAATTTATTCTAAGATGTAATGTTAGGGTATTGGGCGAGCAGTAAGGAATTAAAATATTCACATTTTGTCCATAAAAAAGATATTTTATTAGAGAAAATGCAAAATACCAGTATTTGCAAACTCTTTTGAGTCGCACTGTATATACACACACACACTACCAAAGTATCGACGTAAACATCTACAGAAATTTATTATTCAATACTTTTAAGCAGCCAGTAAGGAATGAACCAAATACTAGTGGCTTGTGAGAATTGCATACTTATTACTTGATATATACCTTAATTATCTTGGTGTATATATTGGTCAGTAACCTGTTCTTGAATTATTACATAATTATAAGTTTTCTTTTATTATTATTTTCAGAGCATCTCAAGTTAACTTACTTATGAAACAACTTTTAATTTTAGATTGAACCAAAAATATCGAGACAACCTTTTATAAGAATGAGTCTTATCTAAAACTTCTTATATTTGGCAGCACCAATTTCATGTGATTGGTGGAATTTACTAAAGTTAGAATTTTAGTTATTTCCGAGTTAAATGTAGAGATATCATGACTGTTATGAAGTAGAAAAAAATATTTCTCTTTGTTTCTGAGGATTTTGGCTATATATATATATATATATATATATATATATATTATACATACACAAACACAGGGCTCTTCCATCGATTTTTTAATATATGAGGATCAAGCAACTCAGTTCTTAGAAACTGACAACCAGACTTCTTGCACAAATCATTTGATTATAGTGGTAAAGGCTTATGCAGAACCAACCACACTTTTTGGAAGAACCAAGTACAAAGAACTGGTGCACAATGTGCCACAAGGTCTCCAAACAACCCTCTGCAGGTTTTGAATTCAGAGTTGTCCTTCTCCTAGACTGGTTGCTACCCAAGGCTATAGAACCTGGTCTATGCTGCTATTTACCTCTAGCCTTAGAGAAGAGAATTCATACCTTTCCTAAAGGTAAATGCAATGGATTTAACTAGAATTCAAACTCAGCTCTCTGATTCCTCAATTCAAGCCACTATCCATTATTCCACCGTGCCTCCTATATATATTGTATATGTTTTTATGGAACAGCTTTCTAGCTCTAGTGATGCAATCTGGCAAATTATCAATGCATCTTACTTATGATAAAACGCAGATTGTGTGTGTGTGTGTGTGTGTGTCTGTACGTTTATATATTGGATCAGATTTCCTACATTTTTCAACTGATTTCAACAAAACTTCACAGGACTACATAAAATTACCTTGCGGTGGTTCTGACAGCGCCAAAAATTGGAAAAACAATTGTTTTTGCCCAAAATCAATTTGAAAACACCATTAAGAGGCATTAATGAAAGGGGGACAACTCATATCGAGTTATAATTAATGTTATCGAGTTATACTTATTATAAAACCCAGGTTGGTTGTTTGTGTGTGTGTGTGTGTGTTCCTTTATATATGGGATCGGATTTCCTACATTTTTCAACCGATTTCAACAAAACTTCATCTTTTTTTTTGGCAGGTAGTGTTTCTTATTGTCTTGCACACTTTTTTCTTTTATTTTTACATTCAGAATGCTTTAAAAATTCCATTTACAAGACAATTGTTTATAATAAAATTCTATTCAATCGGTAGACTCATAACGATTGAAAACAATGTTTTTGTTTGAGTTTGGGTTTGACCAATTCATAAAAAAAAAAAAAAAAAAAAAATATAAAACTAATTAAGACATGCGTGTCCGTCAACCTTAAACAATAATCTTTGTCAATTTTATTTTTCAGTCTTTATGATGGTTGATACTTGATCTATATCTTACTGTTACATCCCTGGGCAACGCCGGGCTCTACTGCTAGTGCTCTCTATATTTAAAGATTTTTCTTATAGGTTTTATATGTTTAGAAAAAAAAATGAGAAAGTGAATAAAAGAGAGAGAAGGAAATGAATAAAAGAGAAAAGAACGTTTTTCTTATTCTGGTATGATACACTCTTAATTTCTAATTCAAAAGATATGCTCCAAAATGACACACAGAGTGAAAAAAATGGATCTGGTAAGGGGTTCAACCTAGGTTAAAAAAAAAAGTTTAAAAAGTCATTTTCAAAGCAGAGAGGCTTCATCTAGAACACAATTTCCTTAATCTTTGTGCCAGATGAAGCATTCCAGCCTTTTCAACAAAATTCTTTATTCATAGCATCAGTATTCAGTCATTAAAATATTTTCATTTGATTTTCCTGCACCACCTTTCTTTTAAATTGTGTATTTCAACAAAAGAATAATTCTGATTTCAATTCAAGAGTTTTTCAACTGGTTGCAACCATTTTTCATGGAATGAAATCCAAGTCCAGAGAATTATCTGCAGATGGAAGAACTTCTCATCCACTTTCATTTGCTGCGTTGCATTTACAATACAATAACATTGTTATGCAGACAAAAAGAAAATATTAATACTCAACTTCCTTTGCATCTAAAAAGATCTTTCCTATTTTAATGCATCATCTAAACAAGCCAATTGCACAACATCATTATACAGTAACAGTTTGTCCTGGTTTTAGCAGTTTTCTTTTAATGATGAGTTCCTTTCAAATCCAGCTAAACGGAGAAAAAAAAATTTTGTTCCACTGATTCTGTTTAAGTTTAGATGTTGAAAGCTGTCCTGAAAAAGTCATTACTTTTTTAATTTCAATAATAAATCCATTTTCATTGCTGGCAACTACCTTTTTTCCTAGTAGATCATATTTAGATTGAAATGTTAAAGGCTGTCGCGAATCTAGTCATTATTTTCTTCATTTTGGATTCTTATAAAACCACCATTTTTCACTGTCAATAACAATCTTTTTTAAAAAGTGAGTTTTGGTAGCACACATGAGAATAGAAAGACAAATGTTTACATGATATTCCTTTTCTAAATTCATGCGGTATATATTTTCTCAAAGTTCAGAATTATCTTGAGGGATTATAAATAAACATAATTGACAAATTGCAGAAACAATAAGGAACTGAATAACAAAGATTCTTCTAAGATTTCCCTAACATTTTGTAAAAATTAGACTGAACTTTTGCATCAACTTCCCACAAACATATTAAATTAAGTGAGTCTTCACTGGAAGCACAATTGTTGCCATTTCAACATCAAAGCTTCTTGCAGACAAACAATCCAAGAGCCAGTAAAAACAAAAATCCAGCTATATTAAAAAGCAATTAAAAGCAAATATATCTGCTAATTCTCAACTATGATAAGCTTTAGTCAGCATTACATGCCAGTGACTAGACCTTGTAGTTACTGGTAATTAATCAGATTGCAGAGAAATGTAGTTTTAGGCCCTTCCAATGGTATTCCTAAAAAAGCCTCAGCCAGAATTCAAATTTGATTTATAAATTTCCTTTGTTGATATTATGTCATCATACATGTTTACTTAGTTTCATGTGATGGTAACTGCCATTGGATCCCACTAGTGTAGCATCACCCTCAAAATATTAGCTATCAGAGAAAACCACCTGACAGTATCCACTGCACTTAAGTCAGAAAATGAAAGCTTTCTTTAATGTTTGTTGTTACTGTTGAGTAGTTATCATGGATATTTAACAACAAAAAATGTCATTCTATAATATGTATGCATAAATAATCACTTAATTGTAAATTACAAAAATCTATTTTGTCTAAAAGCAAGGTTAAGTGTCAGCAAAGGCAATCCATTTTCCAAGTTTTAATTTGTGAACAAACATTCTAAAATTTACAAGTAACCAACCTTGAAAAAAAAAAAACCTTAATAAATAAGATGGTAGAAATACTCAACTGAATAGGAAAAACAGTTTAAAAAAAAAATCATGACATCTTGCTAAAGAGGAGACTTAATAAAGCCAGTTTTTATTGTGTATGCACTTGAAAAGGACAATTTAAATTACAATTAAATCAGATAAAGTTCTGCTTTTAAATTGCTAGAAACAGTAATCTCATTTACAGCAAAACAGAAAAAAACAAAAATGAATATCCCCTAAAATAAAGAATTTCTACCAATTGGAACTAGCAAGAAAACAAGAACAGTAAGAAAAAATAATTAAAATAAAAACAAAACTCATTCATTAAAAATGGTTTTTGAGTAAAGTTCAGGTGACTTCAAAGTTTAAATAAATGTATGTAATTGAATAAATCTATATAGAAGGATATTTTTCAAAACCAGAGTGATTTTCTGTTTGGACTATAAAACAAGAAAAACATATTTTGTAACATTCAGGTATGAGTAACTATTTCAGCAAAAGTCAACTTGGGTACCTCACTATTTAATCATTGTTAGCAAACATGTTTTATATACTGTTAGTGTAGCAGTGAGTTTAATCCTCACTGTGTTTCATGACTGTGGCCTTTTATCAGACTAAGCTAAAGTTACCAAACACCCTTATTGTGTAATCCAATAATATGACCTTGTGCCAGGCTAAATGAAGCTAATTTGTGACAAGAGCTTATTTGCAGAGAGAATCATGGGTTTATCTCCATAAGTTCATTTTTTCTTTCAAACTTCCCCACTTGATTTATTCTAAACTAATACTTGAATTTTTTTCTTCAGTTTTTAACCATTGTCAGGATGCATAAAATAATCTTTAAAACACTTTTGAACAAAATCATTTACAGTTTCTATGGGTAGACTGTCTTGGAATTGAACACAGGATGTATTTCTCACAAAATTCCATGAAAATTTCAACCATTCTTTTCTGGAGAGAGCTTTTCATTTGAAACAGCAGTATTTATAGGCTCAAGCAGAGATGAGGTGATCCTGCTAGCTAAAAATATAAATAAGAGAACATATTCAGAAAGGAGTAGTTGTTTTTTAGCTTTCACATGGTGAAGCGAAGAGGCAACCAGAAGAATCAGGGTACAATTTCCTGTAGGTCAGTGTATACCTCCTTGTGGTGGTCAATGCCAAGTGTTTGTAATTGAATAAGCAGCAATGAGTAATGAAGTGGCCGTAAGTGACATTCTAAAGTACAGAGATGGAGAACAGGATAAATTTGTCTTAAAGGAACAAAGCAAACAATCACTTCAAGGTTGAGTCAAAGCTTGAAGGAAAAAAATATCATGTACTGTATATGACAAACACTAAGTATTTATACACAAATGTACGCTTTTTAAAATTTTGACCTGCACATTTTCTCTTTTATAGTTTGTGCGGCAATATATGTGTGTGTCTGTGTGTGCATGCGTGCACACAAACAAGGTCAAACTCCAAGGCTTAGGGAATTTGAATTTGCCTCTTTAGTACAGACATTTTGTGACTCCTTTTGTGAGAATATATACCCAAAGAGATTACTCTGATAGAAACAGTGAAAACTAGCTGTTAAGGTAAGCAACCAACATGCCATACTCACAGTCAAATTCCCTGAACTATTGGGTAGCATGCATATGTGTGCGTGTGTGTGTGTGTGTGTATGTGGTGTGTAATCACCTACTTATGACTGTCCGACTTTATGACCAATTGATATGTCTGACCACAACTGCCCCACATGTGGCAGCATGAGTGTTGGTGTATGACAATTTCTGCTTCAGCTCCCAGCAGCACCAGCATTCCCTTGTGTGCCTCAAACTCAGTGCAAGGGTAGCCTCAGTACAACACATTTTCCACCAAATTCATTCACTTGAAAAACACAAAGATGTTAACCAAGAGGAAATTGTCTTTGCCTGCTCCTCAACTTGCCAAAAAAGAAGACCTATTGATCTTGACACAAAAATGATGATGATTAAACAGTAGAAAGGAGGAAAGAAAGTGAAGGTGATCATATGTGATCTGAAGTTATCATACTTTATTGTGTTGATGATTTTAAATGACAGAGAAAGAATTTGTAAAGCTGTGAAAGGTGCTGCACTTATTTGATTGGCAGTTATAATGAAGCAATGAACTGGGCCCATCCACAAAATGGATCAATTTCTGCATATGGAGATAAAAGATCAGATTCCCCAAAAACAGGTTCCGTTGAGCCTTTTTACTGTGCAGATGAAGGCTAGAAGTCTATTTCACACTTTGAAGGACTATGTTGGAGAAGACTACAGTCAAAAATTTGTAGCAATTCAATAGCTGATTCAAGAGATTCAAGAAAAGATTCCAAATTCATAATGTTCAAGTGATTAGAGAAGGAGTGAGTGCAGATGAAGAAGCAGCTCATAAATTTCTTGACAGTCTGGATGAAGTAATTATGGATCTAGTCAAACAAATTTTTATTGCGGATGAAATGGGGTTGAAAATAGGAAAAATTGCATGTCATTTTTCTTTGGAAGGTGAAGTGAAAGATGTCGAGTAGTTTTTAGACCAGAGAACTTGCAAATAAAGAGCTAATCACAAGAGTGGCAGAAAAAGAAAGAGAAGAAAGAAGAAGAGGAGGAGGAGGAGGAAGAGGAGCCAGAAAGAAAATTTACCTCTACTGATTAAATTCCTTGTACATTTTGAAGGAATGGACCCAAACATCAAATGATTTGCAAGGATTGAGCGGGTGGCACATGATGTTTTTTGTCCATAAGATGGAATTTATGAGAAGAAAAAGAAGCTAACAATTCAAAGCTCATAATGTTTGTAATAAAGAAAGGAAGGAAAAAAAAAGAAGAAAAAAAAACTCAACCAGCTACCTGAACTGTCTCAGCTAATGACATTGATGATCCATGATCAAGCGCCAGCGGCTAATAAGATGTTTTGTTCTTGTATGTATTTAGGCATGCTTTGCTACTAAAATGTTTTGTTTTTTGCACCTGTATTTTAGGTTTTTTATGTTTAGCAAATATTAAACTAATTATAGTGTAGTATACAATGTTTGATTTAAACATGATGAATGTAAAAATGAAACTGTTTAGAGTGATGATACAAATGGTATAAAATGTAAAAAAACTAAAAATTATAAAAAAAATACAATTATGCCTAGAGAAAGATAAAAAGATTGCAAAATTAATTAGCAGCAGACTTACAAGCAGATTGATTTATGACCTATTGGTCATAAATCATGGTTTGAAGTCAATGAAGACCTACATACACACACGTGTGTGTGTGTAGTTATGTATGTACACATAATTCAGACTCTCTCTCTCACACACACAGTCTGTGTGTGTGTTTGAGCAGGTACATATGTGAGATCTATTTGGAAAGTATTCAGCCATTTAATATTAATGTAAAAGTGGTCTACTTAAGGAAATGACCCTTTAGATTTCTTTAATCTACTTCTCACCTTGGTACCTCATCCATTTAACTCAGTATCCATCACACTTTTGTCCTTTTTGGGGATAGCTTCTCCTTAATCATGTCCACAATGTGAAGTCACAGGGAGCAAATCTAGACTGTCGTGGATGATACATTATTTTAACAATAACAAAAATAAAATCATATGAGATGTGATTTCAATGTCATCTTAAGAGTATAGTCTGCAGCTGATGAGTGTCAACAATCAACAAGTGCCAGTTGAACTAAAGATGCATAATGCATGGCTCATTTTTTGATAATTTTTAGAATATTTAATGAAAAAAAATACCTTCATAGTTTTTTTTTTTTTTTTTATTATTTAAGATGAACACCAATTCCCCAGTTTAGAAATTCTTATTTTTGTATGAAAAATCAGGGAAATAAGTATCTAAAGTTAATGTGTGTGATTCTCAATCCATTCTAATAAAAGAAGAATTTTAGTTGTTCACACTTTAAAAATAGAGATCCCCCCAGTAAGGAAACAAGTAAGGCTTGTGCTTGAAGTGAGGAAAAACCTTGAATGGGACCAAATCTCATTCTTTGAACAACAATGATGTCTAACCAAAAAAAAAAAAAATCATTGGATGTAACTGAAATTACAGATTTTATACCAGAGTGCATTCTCCTAGATAGATGTCTTAATGTTTAGTGGTTCAGCTTTCCCAGTAAGCTAAGGAGGTCACCTATCTGGACAATGTGTTTAATTCACTGGTGGATATTACCCACTCACCCACAATGTGTGAAATAAGTCTCCATAACATACTAAAAACTTACTATTTTCTTAAAATAGATAATTATGAATTTTTTACAATTGTAAATTTGACATACAAGTTTATCATATCAGGAAATCATATCAAGAAATTTATTATTACTAAAATTCAAAGAATTGTAAATAAAACAAATTTGAGAAATAAAAACAAATGAGAAGCAAAAATGTAGAAAACAAAATATCCTTTCTCTTCTGATAAAACTGGCATTTATTAAATCAAAATTGTAGTCAGACATGTTCTGCCGTGTATCCCCAGTGATGCTCATATAATCTTTTAAAAATAAGACTATATGAAAATATTCACTACGAAAATGCATTGAAAGTATGGTGACCTCACAACATTTGACAATAAACTTTAGTACAGGATTGTACATAATGTCACCGATCATCACAAAAGCAATAGAAGCACAATGCAGTAAACAAGCTAATAGAGAAAAAATAAAAACAGAGATCCATTTGGAGTGGGCTAATTTAAAATCTGACAAATGTTAACAGCTTCAGTAATTTAAAAATTTTTTTTTTAACAATGATGTTCACCCTGTACAAGGCCCAAAGGCCACTCAAGATAGAGGATTACAGACTAAGAGGCAAAGCTTATGCAGATATGTGTGGAAGATAATGGTTGACCCTAGACATGAACAGATTAAGATTGTAGTGAGTGGGAAGCATCATCTTTGGAGTCTTTTCCACAAGGTAGCAGCTTGCAGGAAGAAGTTGTTCGAGTAGAACTTACATCTCACCAAAGGAATACGAATAGAATGAGGGTGGTTCACTACAATGTGCCTGGCATGGTGGATCCTAGCCATGAAGATCAGGACTGGTGGAACTAAGGAGTGTAGTTCATCTGAACAATGATGGTGAAATCTAACTAGTTTGGTTTTTGAGTCACTGAATGTGACCAGCCAGTTTTTCTCCCATTATCTGTTAGAGCTAGGTAATAGGAGAGATCAGTTGCCAATGTCTGGTCATCCAGAGTCTTGGAGGTGCACCCATATGCCATTGTATCATTAACATAGATATTCACAAATGATCAGAGTATGCTCTTAGGTAGATCATTTATGTAAAGTATGAAAAAGGTTGGATCAAGAAGTGAACCTTGAAGGATATCCATGCTGATTGTTTGGGCCTCAGAAGACTGGTAGTTAATAACTACCTTTAGTGACTTACCCATTAAGAAGAACTTTAGATTTGAGAAGATTCTTCCAATGATTCTATAGTTAGAGAGCTTATGCAGTAACCTTTCATACCACACCTTGTCAAAGGCCTTTGAAATATCTAATCCAATCATCCGTAAGATGTATTTGTTGTCTAGTGCCTCACTAATTCAAAGATCAAAGTGAAAAGTTTCACCTTATCTAATGAAGATGAGATTACTTGGGGGGGGGAGCATTTATAATAGTAGGCACTGATGATTTGTCTATTCATAATTTGGTTATTGCAAGCACTTCTGAATGCAGCAGGTGTCCTACAATGTTCCCAGTGATAGATATTGTAGAAATGGTTATGGTGAGCTATGGCTGCAGCACATTTGGACGTGAGCTATGCTGGCTGTTTGGTTTCTGCTGGAATTTTTTTCTCGGGTATAAAACTCCATTCCAGTAAGGATCCATTCTGATAGAAGGGCAGAAGTTTTGAAGGCCAGTATGTGAGGATAGGAGAGGTGCTTCCACCACATAATATTTGAAGCTGTTCCAATCTGCTTTCATGTACCAAAAAATCATTCTTTGGAATGGTCTATCAGGGAATGATTTAGTTTGGCATTAACTTTGACACTGACTAGTAAATGGTCTGAAGTACTGGAGGTGGTGAGAATAAAAAAACTTCAGCAAGGCATTTTTCAGGGCAAGATTTGAGGAAGAGGTCAAGGAGGTTTGCCTGATGTCCTGTTGCAGCAGGGACACTGGTGGGTACTTCAATAATCTGAGTTAGTTCAGAGGCAACAGAAAAGTCTGCAATATCTGCTTTCTTCATCAGTTTTGTCCAAGTGAACTAACAACTCTTTGTGGTGAATATTGAAGTCACCACAAATATGAAAGCTAGCTGAGTAAAAGTCAGTAAGGATCAATAAGAAAAAAAATAAAAAAAATCACTTTCCGATTTTTGGACCTGAAAAGGTAAATTTATTGCCCCTTTTTCTCAAAAATCCCAATGCACTTTCCTTATAAACAATAAGTGAAATGTGTTGTATGTAAAAGCATTCCATTTTGTCTCATTATCTCCACCTTACTAATGCACATAATGCTTCTGTGTGTGTACTGCTTTTCGTTATAAATAAATTACAAAAACCATGAAACTTGATGTTTTCCACTCTCACATATTTTTTCTTAAAACCTGCAAACTCCTGATGAAAAATTACAATAACATTCAAAGTGATGATGCTGTAGTTTCACTAGCAAGTAGTTTTTGCTGCAGTGAATTGCTACACCCATACCTCAAACATTAACTCAATCCTTAGACTAGTTTTTCAAAGAAATTAAATACACTTCTTTAATAGTGAAAATGGCCACTATTTCAGAAACCGGAACATTATATATATATATACACACACACACACACACACACACACACACACACACAGATCAAAAGAAGAGTTGTTAGTAAAAGATAAATTGATCAACAAATATTTATCAAATAATCATAATTTCAAAACAAATCTGTTCTTGTTAGAGGGGGAAAAAAAAGTAAAAAAATAAGAAAGGGAAATAAAGAATTTTGGAGTTCATGACAATGTACCAGGAATTTTTTAAGAAAAAAAAAAAAAAAAGGGACAGAATTTAGTTCCACTATCCCAAACATATATTACTCTTGAAGTTTACCTTGTTAGACAAATGTCTTAATGATGGCCATTATCCAGCAAAGGAACAATGCATAAGCACTGTAAATTCCATATTTTATTACATACGATGGTAGATCAATATT